AGGGCCATCAAAATAAGACAGGAAACTCATTAAGGCGCAGGCTAAGGTACACAACTTGACGTGGGAAAAAAATAGCTCACACAGCAGACATACATGAAAGAGCTGAAAGACAGAGCGAGCCAGGGAGCTAGAGATGAGAGAGAGAGAGAGAGCGACGGAGGCAGAGGGGAACAGAGCGAAAACAAACATGACAGAGAGAATAAACAGAGACATAACCGGGGAAACGGATAAATAAACACAAGACAAGAGGGATGAGACAAAGACTAAAGGCACAGACAAGAAACCAAAAATACAAATAAACCTTAGAGGCAATAAAGGAACTAAACTCAAGACTAAACTGTACAAAACTTGAACTTAAAACAATCTTCATCATGCAAAAGAAAGAATCATGAATCCAAAATAAACTCAAAACGCTGGGTCAAAAACAGTACCAGGAAAAGGATATGACTGCTTTCTTTTATTTGTGCAGTATCTCCAAAATTAGAACTATCCCTTTACAGAGAAATGATGAAAAACCAGTTCATGTATTCATTACTGCTGTAATTTAATCATGCTGCTCTAAAACTTCTATAAAAAGCCTTCAGTTTATCCAAATTCTGCAGCAAATGTAGAAACAGGAACAAGAGCCAGAGAGATCACATTTATTCCATATTGGCTTCTCTTCACTGGCTCTTTGTTAAATACAGAATTGAATTTGAAATCCTTCTCACTCCTAAACAGTTTTGAATAATCACCCCTCCCCAGCTGATCACAGCAGATTGCTGCCCCTTACTGAGCCTTATTCTGCTGGAGGTTTCTTCCCGTTAAAAGGGAGTTTTTCCTTTCCACTGTCACCAAGTGCCAAGGGAGATTGTTTGAATGTCAGGGCTTTCTCCAGAATACTTTAAGGTCTTTATCTTATTTGTTGTTGTGATTTGCTGCTAAAATAACTAAGCCTGAATTGAATTGAATCTTATGTATATGCTTAAACTTATTTTGTGTATTTTACATTGTGTTTAATTATGTGTCTATTAATGTCTGTGTCACCACTGTTGAATAAACTGTTATCTTGTCTGTCTTGGCCAGGACACTCTCGCAAATGACATTTTAAAAATGAAGAATCTTATTTCTCAGGTTGAGTAAAGGATAAAAATGTTTCATGCACAGTAATTGTTACTTTTCTAATAATCAACTTTATTATTTTTTCAGTACCTTTCATATAAGAATCTGAGAGGGTTGGATGGACAGCTTCTAAGTTGGCTGGACCTCAAGACTTTACCTGAGCCATGTCCTGATCACAGCACAGTGGTTGTCTGTCACTATCCATCGTCCCTCTCTGACCTTTACTGCAGTCGGAACTTGAGAAGATGGATTCTGATGATAGCAAATTTTCTAAACCCTGTAATTGTTTTGAAACCATGAAAAGGCAGCATATCAAATGTTTGAATTTGATGCTAAAAACAAGAAGAAGGGCTAGAAAAATGAAAAGCTGACTAACACAAAAAAATTATCACAGCTACAAAGTATCATAGTTAAATAGTAATGTGACCGGGTATAATGAAAAAGAGCAACTCGGAGAAATGCATTAGCTATTAATTGTACTACATAATCTAATCAAAAGTTCAGAGAAGATGTTGTCTTCTCAAAGAGATGTCTCTCTATGCAAGGACAAAACTAAAAACCAATACTGAACGGCACACTGTGTTAAAACCAGACATATCAGCAATGAATATCATTGCTTGGTCTCAGGAACACTTTCAAAACCATTATCATTGAAACTACATTGCACATGATTCCCTGTGAAGTCTTTCTGCAGTGGCACCTCCAGAGACATCCAGTATTTATAGAGCTACAGATAAAACTTGAAGCACAGCAGCAGGATTAGGGGATATTCTATAGCTATGCAATAAATTAAGTATTTATGTTGTTATTGTGCTTGTACTTTGCTTGAATATAATGACAGTCATGTTGTACTGTTCTCCAGTTAGATGAAGGGCTTTGTCATCCAAACTCTTTGTGGTAGCTTTCATCATCTGCCATTTACACAAGATGTCAGTTACTGCCATGTTTTGGATATGTATTTTATAGGACTTCATGTAATGTCTTGTATTTGTCTTCCTTTGAATAAATGTTGTTTTCCAGTGTGCTCTGACTTAATGCACTTGTAATTTACTCATAACAAAATATGAAGATGTTTGCACATTAAAAATTAGGAAGCATGTGCTTCAGCTTAGCCTCTCATGTGAGCTATAATACATTTTTAGGGAGGATGTGATTATTAAGACAGAGCTGCCTCGCGTTCACCAGCCTCTGAACATCCTGCACATTCGGCTAACTTCAGCAGAAAGCTGGAGGAAATGGTTTTGGCTATGTTGGTTGATGATTAACATGTGGTGGTTTCTTGGCTGGAGGATACAGATTTGCATCAGTTACACATGGTGTATTGTGTTTTAGATTTGATGTTTAGCTCGGTAGTTCTCATGAGTCGTACTGCAGAATTGGTTGATAGGTATAGCCATACATGCAGACCTTCACAGTCACTAAGGAGATTGGGTCGGCTGAGGCTTAAATCTGATTTTTCTTTCTTTTTGGCAAGTGCAATGATTGCAAAATGGTCTTGACAAGTTGAAAGACAGCCTTGGCCAAGTGCTGAGGTGCTCAAATACAGAAAAGTCACACGCAGAGATACCGTTTGATGTTGTGTGTTTTGTGGAAAGCATTTTGGTATTGGTAACACAAACTGTAAAGTGTTGTGAGCTCCTATGCCACCACAGGCCCAGACAACAGGCAGAAAAGGTATGCATGGTGCATCTGAGCAAACTCCATGTTTATGTGCAACACCTCATCTGGATAAAACACAAGTGCAGCAGTAAATGGAATGAATTCTCCTCAACTGTACTCTGAAAAATGAAGAGAGGGAAACTGAGGGCCTTATTTTAACTGACAGTTAAAATCTGTTCAGCTGTTGTGTTCAGTTTAATAAGCAATCACCAGAGCAGCTAGTTAATTCTTCAGTGTCTTATCTGAAGATTCATTTATGAGGACAGCATCAAATATTCAGGGCAGTAGAGTGCTGATTGCAGAGCTTCATTAATGACGGGTGTCACAGGGAACATCTGTTAGTTATGATCTCGGCAGAGCCACTTTCTGCTGCAGTGTGATTATGATGCTGTAAAACAGCCATTACTTTAAGCAACTGTTTCTGAGGGTGAGAGCGGCCCAACAGGGTGTGAAACCCACGCTGGTTTCGCTGCTTGAGAGCTCAATTTGATCTGATTTAAACTCTCTCGCTTTGCTTCGACAGCATAGCGGTGAAGATTTCTCGCTTTTCTTTAAAAATGAAATAACTTGTGAACAATTTCAAACACTTCACTTGAGCCAAATATACATTCAAAAGTGTACATAAACCATAACAAATAATCAGTGACAGCGTTAAGTGAGTAAGCTGTGTGTTTGCGATTGTTTCGAATATTCTTTATGGCAACTGAGAAAACGTTGTCGAGATAAAGACACTAATGACATGTGGGTGAAAGCTCTCACACTAATAGGTAGACCTTAAATGCAATTTACATTTATTATACGATCAACAATAAGCCTTCAAGCTTCAACAATTTCACGAGCTTTAAACACAATAATACACTGTGCTGTTAGTAACGGTGTAATATGCAATGCCTGTCAAACACATCAGTTACCCTTAAGTGTTTCTTAATGCTACATAAAGTAGTTATTTATATAATTGTAAGAATGTACTGCTTAATCGCTGTCAACCTTACACATTTTGTTATGTCAGTGTGCTTTCAGATGTGCAGAAATACAGTCAGGCAGTTATGACTCTTGTCTTTGATAAGTTTTTAAAATCATTACCCCATGTTTTCCAGTGACGCTTTATCATGTAGATCTCAATTGTGAAACAGAAGGCGACAGAAATGCCACAAAGTTAATGATCTGCCAAGCTGAATGTTTGATTATCAAGAGCTTTAGCATATCCTAGTCTGCACTGCCTGACTTAAACCAGGAACTGCTTATTTCCTAACATCTGTCACACTGTCCTACATGAAACGACACAATAGCTCTACTTTTCTCCCCCTTTTTTTTTCTTTTTACTGCTTCAGAGGATAACCATGAAAGATATACACTAAGTATTCCCTTTATTGTACTTTTACTGGCCCCAGTAAAAGTATAATTAAAAAAGTAAAAGCAAATGATAGAAGTTAATAAACCTTTAACCCACTTCCCCGTTGGTGTCACAAACAGACGTTTGAAAACTGTATGCAAATAAAGTTTCCTGTGAATGTGCAAAACTGACGGAAGCAGTATGTAACATTTTTAAAGATCAACTGTAAACACGGTGCCATGAGATGAATTTCCACATATGGTAATTTTCTGTGACAACATGATTTAGTGTTTTCAGGGAATGCTCTTTGAGTGAGCGATGGAAAACCATAATCAGAGTGCATTACATGGCCAAGGCAAGCTAAAGGTGGAAGCATTTTCATAGCAGTGATAATAGTTGTACGTTGTTGTATCCTGATTTATTTTTATTTATTATTTGCATCTCGAGCTCCACACGTGGAAATGCTGTCATCGCTCCACAGCAGCTCTAAACCGCACATCCCCATTTCTTCACAGTTATCCTCTTCTCCGTTACCTACAGCCCGTAGACATATCTGCATACATATATGCATCTACAGGATACATGTTGACAGGAAAGTGTAGCATATACGCCCAGGTTTGTGTGCACTGATGAGAAGTAGATGAAAACAGTTCTCCTCAACATAAGCTGCAGTTCAAGGTGAATCACATGCTGTGGACTGAACAGCAGGTTTTTCCCCCTTTACAGTCATACTTTCATTGGGGCCCCTGAAACCTGCGTAGGGCACTGCTGTACATTTTCCCCACCCTAATGATCACCCCGAAAGTAATTATTTAGTAATATTCTAATAACAGTAATGGCATAATAATGATCTTAGAGCCTCTTATACAGTAGATTGCTTTTAATATGACATACACGTAACACAGTTTTTACCACATGTAAAAACCTGTTCGTGGAAAGGAAACTACACACGTATCGTTATATTTTTAAATAAATACGTTAAAAAAAACCATACATAAGTTCTCATTAAATCGTTAATACATAACAGTGGTTTTCCAGAGTGTATTATGTAGTAGTAGTGTGAAATCATCAAAACAAGTAAACGTTTTCCTCAGTACGCTGTAAAGTAGCCTCTTTACCATTTCTTCTTGTTCTCAGGGAAGAGCCACTTCCATTTGTCGTTCTGTAAGAGGTAAATAAATTCATTATAATACAAGTATGACACACAAAAGAATTATTTCTTTTAATTAAAGTGCTTTGAAAACATTACAAACCTTAAATCCCCAGGACGAGTTGGTCTGTTTGCGTCTCATGTCCTCCAGAGGCTCGTAAGTGTTGCTGCTGGCTTTAGGGTTGATTGGTTCCTTGTGGCCGCGAATCGGCTCATATGTGAAGTCAGCGGGGGCTTCGCCGGGGACCTCGGCATACACAGAATCTGTGCGCTCCTCTGGTATTGACAATCTAGTGTCAAAGGACGTAGTGTGTGGGCTCCCGGGCCTGCCAGCCAGGTGATAAACTGCATTATCACTCAAGTAGTCCAGGCTGTGGCTGCTGCTTGGTCTGCTGCCCAAATCTGTCCTCTCTGACTGGGAGCTGCTGCCGTTACCTTGTCTGACTGGCCTGGGGGAAAGTCTCGGAGGGGTGTCGGGAGGTGCGTTCAGTCTGTAAGACTGCTCCCCGTCAGAACTGCTGTCCAGGAGTGGCAGAGACCTGCTTTTGCTGTCTAGGATGCTGAGCTCCGAGTAAACGGATTCTGGATGTGACGGAGGACTACATCTGCCATTGATTTGATCCTTGGAAGTCGAACTCGAATTAGGTCTGGGTAAACTGTCCTGATGCATGTGTTGGTCTCTGGGTGTAACCCTTGGCGACTGCTTCCTGAGTTGGGCGTACAAAACCCCCTCATGCTCGTTGATGGTGGCACTATCGAGGTGCCTGCTCCTTCGGGGCAACGGCGGACCTTCCTGTTTTACAAAACAAGTTTCTAAAAGTCAGTGAGGTGAAATAAACAATGGAACTATTTTCAGCACATTAGTTTGGACAGCAGCTCTATAATTTATTGACTGTATTCACCTCGTGCGCCCTGTTGCCCTTTGGTGGCCGTTTAGGCTGCTCATCTAAACTCGAGTTTATCTGTTTTCGTTGCCTGTTCTTCACAGCGCTGACAGCGGCAACAGGTTTTTCTTTGGGGCTAATCTGGATAACATCATATAGGTCTTCATCCAGGGCCTGAAAGAACAAAACATCACTTGGACCTCTATCTTTCACCTTTGGCATTTAAAAAAAGAACTCAAAAGAAGAGTTTTGTCTCACCTCAAAACACGAATTTGTCAGGTACTCTCCATATGGTTCAATGGGGCTTGTTTTGTAGTAATCTACCAGACTGGGCACTGTGTCGTGTACCTCGGTGTCTCCATAGACTACAAACTGCCCCATTTCATTCTGGTTTATCACAAAGTGTCGACAACGATCCCTGCCTCTGCAACAACAACAACAACAACAAAAAGTTTGTTAAGCATTGACACATTTTATAGTTGGAGCAAACTAAAATAACATATATTCACACGACTTTCTGACTTTTGAAACATGAATATCCTCCAATAAAATAAGCCACCAAACAAAAGCTTAGAAGTGGGGTTAGAAAATAGATAGATTTGATCGATTTGACACACATTATCTTTAAGACACTTTATATATACATAAGTCATAATTTCTGTAAAACAAAGCAGTTTACCTTCAGCAGCACAACAACACTACACAACTCCTACTTTAGTGTTCTTTAGACTAAACCACCACTCACCTATAGGACAGGATGTACCCGATGGCCTTTTCACTAAGACGGATCAGGAAACAGCCGAGCTCCCTTTCTTTAAGAATTTCTTCAGCATCCCTGTAGACAGACCAACAACAGTGTTAAATTCTCCAACTCCTAACTTTAAAAAGTGTTTCAAAGACATTTGGAGAACATTTACAGCAACAGCCTGGTAGATTATGGGCATAGCGAGGTGGATTGTGTGCTGCACCGTGGAAATTCTATTTCGTTACAGTCCCTTTCCATAAACTTGCCACTGCCAATCACGTAAGTGTGCACTGAATGTGGGTGTGTGCTGGAGGAAAGGCCAGTAGGTGCCAGTGGGTGTATTACAAAGTGGACACTTTCCATCAGAGGAAAGGTTTATTTTTATTTTTATTTTTTTGGATACATTTTCACAATATGACCAAAAATAAAAATAAATACATGAACAAAAAGCCTCGTGTCTTTTTACATTACTATATTATATGTTTTAAATTATATGTAAAGAATTTTTTTTTTAAATGTGGCTTTAGCAGCTTAGAGGATATGATTTGGTTTTAGAAAAAAAAAAACTGGGTGTAAAAAATGATTATTTCTCAGTTTGCTATTTCCATTTTTTTCCTTTTATGAATCCTTACCGTCTTGTGATGAAGCCCAGGAACCAAGCTGGAAGGAGTCCGTTGCTGACCATGAGTGGCACCTGAGTCTCTATGAACCACTTTGATGTCAGCTCCCTGAGTCTGACTTCAGTCCCGTCTGCATTAGGATCCCCTGTTGTGTCCCTTTGCTCCATCCTCGTCCGATCCTGATTAAAAACACACCGTCATCCGCTGAAGACAACCAGCATTTATTCCCCAATGTTTGCTGTGTGGCAGCATTTTAACAGTCTAATTTGCTTATTTTCCAGGAGGCGTCAACCACAGCCTGAAAGCAGCTCAATGTTCTCATAGCTTTAAATGAAAGTCATTGGCTGCTGGAAAAGTCCGGTTACACCTGTCTGTGTAAAGCGAGCTTCTAGTTTAGTACACAGCATTTATTTGCTGTTACATGATATCTGATGTTTTAGAGAAAAAATATTCAAAATCCACAATGTTCTCGTTTTACTCAAATAATACTTTGAGGTTTTATAATCTATCTCTAAGTCAAACATCACATAAAAGCAAGTTAGTCACTAAAAGAGTCAGCGACTAGTTCGAAAAAGACTTATAAGCAGTTCTTACCTTGAAGCAAAATTTTAAATAGGTCCTGATGCAGGGAGATTTTGTCTGTTTTTGATCCTTTGGTCTCGACTGTGAAACGCGGCACACCTTTTCAATTCTGGGATACTGTTGTCTGTAAAGTAAACAGCAATTCCTTTCAATCCCTGGAAAGAAAAGATCAGAAAATTAATTTAATTATGAATAATTTAATTATAAAGTTCATACAATATTCCTATAAAGTATTTAACAATGGCGAGAGTACATACCTTTCCTTGAGATTGTCACTGTGTGGTTTGAACCCGGTGTCATTTCAGCAAACATTAAAATACTTCTCTTAACTTCTGAACCGTCTCTAATCTCCAACTGAAAGTGTCTTGAGGGAGTATGACACTACATGGGAGATATAGACAGATGACATTTACAATTACACATATTTTTCCACTGGTCTGGAAAGTAGAGGTACATGGCAACGGGCAAGGCGCAGTTCAAACAGTTCATTTGCATCAAAAAGACAGCTGAAGGCTGCTGAACAATGTGAGAGCTTCCTGAAGAGAAACGGAAAGTAAGCTTTACAGAAACTGTGGTTTGTGTGCACACGAGTGCATTGGTTTGCAAGAGGAGATGTTTAACCCACGGAGTGTCTGATTACCAGAGTAATGGGAGATAAGTTGCGTCAGCAGTTGATCTTTTGTGTTTTCTGATCTGGGTTTGAAGTAAGTTCAGATCACTGTTGCTAAAGCTGGACCAAAAATGTGTAGGAATGGAAATGTTTGGAAAGACTGTGTATGTTTGAACAGATTTGGAGGGTAGAGGGCGGGGCAATAAACAAAGCCCCAGTAAGATGAGGTATTTCCAAGCTTGTTTTTCAGGTTCACATACAGTAAATACCTGCTAACTCATTCCCCCCATTGGTTGGGGACAGGCGTCATGAATCACCTCCAGCAGTTTTTGCTCTGTGGGGAACAGTAGGAACTCCCACAGGGGGAGATGCAGTAACGAGAAAGAGTCTGTGTCATAGCGAGCAGGATGAGATGGGATTTCACAACTGGATTTTAACATCACTTACAATTTGGAAACATGTTTCCTGTTTATACACAACTGATCAAACACTTGGGTATTGTGTACAGCAATGTCATTTAGTGTAATTTAATTTAATTTAGATGAATGAACGCAGAGCCAATAACTGAACTGTTATGTTCCACAAATGAGTAAGAGCTGCTGTACAGTACCATGGCCTAGAATTTCAACACTCTCTTAAGGCGGCTCTTGTTGTTCTTTGTGAGTCATTATGTGCTCCTCTGTGGGAGTAGTAAGGTTTGGGGTTAAATGTTATCACCGGTCCGTGTTTGTAAAGAATCCAATGAACATTACATTCGACCGATCGCGCTGTGTGCTGTACGTAAAAGGATCGGCAGAAATTTATTTGATCTACAGCACATATAAAAAAAGGTGCCAGACAGGAGGATGTCTAGGCTGATAATTTTTTTTTAGCCTAACACACCTATGAGGGGGATGTGGATCTTATAAAAGGTCACAAGTCAATTTAACAAATGCAAAATGTCATTGCAACGGAAGCACATCACCTTTGTTTACAGTGTCCTTTGAAACCTCAGAGCAAAACAAGGATCCTAACCTCACAAATACTTCTAATTGTAAGAAAACTAGCAGGTTACTGTTATTACAGTATTACAGTATTGCATTTTGTTTTTTTAAGCTGCTGTTTTATCTTTGACATCTCAAGTGGGGAAACATCAGGTGTATTTCCCAGCATAAGACAAATCATCCACTGTTTACCCACAGCACTGGGGCAAAACTAAATCATATTCACATCTGCAACCATTAGTCACCAAAACATCCTGAACATGTGAAACTTCTGCCAGCTCTGAATCCAGGAGACAAATTTCCTGTAATCACTTCAATAGCTCCTCTTTCGCACTCTAGTTAAACGAGCTATGGATTCGACTTAGTCACATATATGCTGTAGGTTTTATGAAAAGTGGAAAGGTACGTCATTTCAGGTGGTGATATTTTATTGGAACATTTCTTTCCTTTTTTTTGACTTATCACTTAAATTGTAAATAATGCCACTATTTATGTATTTATTTTCATCCATTATTAGAACAGATTGAGAAAAGTGACAGTGAGATAGAAGAAAGTTAAAGTAGGCTCACTGTGGTTACATGCACTTTAGCACTAACCCAACACCCTGACACACTTTATGGCATCTGTGGCTTTATACTTACTGCTTATTTTGGAGGTGAAAAAAAAAATCAACAAAATATGGCGAGGGTTGTTTGTATCTCCAAAAATGTTCATTTTTAATGCTCTTCAGCTCAAAATCTCTGTGCATTTCTAACATTAGATAACTCTAAACACCTCTCTTAGCCTTAATAGGGCTTTGACTGTCATGTAAGCATGGAAATGCTAAAAACTGGAGGAAGATATACTGATATTATTTGTCATCTTTTTAACCGTCAGCTAGGCAATACAGGCAGCTACTCTGAGGTGACAAAAAGCTCCCAGTGGTTTGGATTTCCAGTAGATCTCTGACCTGCTCACTGTTTATAACCCAGTCAGACCTGTCAGGTGGAGATCTGGTAAATGTTTGCCATTGTCCTAAGACATTGCAAAACCTACTTAGATTTATGTTTTTATCTCACGTTTTAGCACACTGAATCTATGTATAATGAAATGTGCTATCTTAATAAAATTACCTGAGCTATTTATTAAGTTTTTTAAAATTTACAGCTGTATCCTGACATATTCAGTATCTGTTCGAGGTTATAGATACAAATTGTGAAACACACACTGCCATGAACAGTACAAAGCAGTTGAAATTAGCATAACAAGAACAAGAATTACAAGATCGGCTGCGCGTGACACGGGTGTGGGTGTGGGCACCGCAGATCATTTTGTGCCGAGGGCAGATAACAGAACGCATTTTTATTTTTCTTTCCTATGTAGGCCTCGTATCTTCTCTTCTATCTTTTGATTACAGTTTTTTTTCTTTACAATTCGTTGGAGGATTGCTGCTCATTAGCCCTCAAAGCTGGCTGCTCATCTGATCACACACCGCCACCTAGCGGCCCACAGAGCCGCTACACTCCACCCCAACCAGCAAACCAACCACGTCATCCTCGGAGCTGAACTACATGTCCCATGCTCCTCTGTCAAAGAAACGGACAGTCATGTGGATGGAAACAGGAGTGGGCATCCGCTGTGCTGCAAGAAGAAGAAACTTCGAGGAAAGATGCACGAAGAGGAGGATGGCAGCGAGGCGCACTCCTGCACGGCTTCGCGATTCGTGAACTCCAGGTCCGTGGATGTGGCCGACATCGAGGGAGCGAAGGAGCAGGCCTCCAAACTGTGTGGCTACTTGAACAAACTGTCCGGCAAGGGGCCCTTGAGGGGGTACAAGCCGAAGTGGTTTGTGTATGATCCGAGGAAATGCTATTTGTATTACTTCAAGTCTCCCCAGGATGCCCTGCCGCTCGGACACATCGAAATATGCGATGCGTGTTTCAGCTACGATTTGGACGGGGAAGAGGGTCAGTTTGAGATCCGCACGGCCGACAAAGAGTTTCTACTTAAGGTAGGAACTTTTCTTTCTTTCATTAAACGTGTGTTGACAGCATTGCAACGAGGTCTGCTTTTCATGTCATTTGTCACTTCCTTTCTCGTTTGGAAAAGGCAGACACGCCCTTCTCTTCTTTCCTTTAAAGAAAACAGATTTAGACTCAGCTGTTTTTAGGCAACAAAGTACATATTTCTGCTCGGCAACAACGTGATCTGATGCGATTCTGACGCGATCAGAAGAAGAAAATCCGTTTGTTTGTTTTTTAAAAGACAAGTCAATTTCTCGCACAAACCAAGCGCTTAATCAGCGCATTCTTCCAGCTGATTGCCTGCAAACACCGTCAGTCCTCTGTTTTGTGTTTAGACATTTTTACACAGGAGCTCATCTGCCTTCACGGGTCACAGCATCTCATGTGACGGTGTCCTGGTGCTGTCATATGACTGTGACGGGTTCAGCACCAAGACAGGTGCCTCTGGTTTCACTCAGTCAGTTCTAGTCTGTCTTATTATTTTTTTAAGTGTCTATGCTTAATACCAAGAGAGAGAGAGCTGGAACTGAGACTGAAACCAGTGTCTGTGCTCATTCACATGACAGATCCTAATAGTGTCAAGTTGTCCTCATTTTCCCTTTCCATTTGTCGCTGCCTTGATTTCCTCATGGAGATGCCTTTTAAAATGTCATCTCGCTCACTTTGCTGTCTTTAAAATGGCGTGCTTAAAGATTTCAAAGATCTAAAGTCTAATTGAGTGTGCGTTTGTGTCCTTCTAGGCTCCCAGTAAGCAGGTGATGCACTACTGGCTGCAGCAGTTGCAGCAGAAACGTTGGGAGTACAGTAACATGCGAGGCTCTGGTCAGAGAGACAGCTGGAGCTCCCCGACGCTGGCCTATCCTCACACCGGCCTTGTAGGCAAAGATAATGGTAGGCAGGTTCGCACGCACTCACACATACAGTGGATATGTTATCAGTCGGTCATTTCATCATATCCGGGCAACAACTGAAAGTTTACACAAGCGCTACAAATCACAAGAGTCTCGCGTATTTTGTTACCAAGTTTCTGCAGGAAAGTGTTCGAGTGTTTCGAAAGGGTAAAAGTTCAGATTGACATCATTCGGCTTGTGTTTTGTTTTAAGCAGAAAGCCCTTCGAGCTGTGAAGCAAAGGCGCTGGTATCGTAACCTCACGTCTAAACAAATATAAAGTAGGCAGTCAAGTAATGGTCTGTGACAAAAATGATATGTTTATTTGTTTTCCAATTTTTTTTAAATATAAATTGTTGAGAGGAGAACAACCAGACTCATTTGAACTGATGGGAAGGGAACAGTAACAGAAGAAAAGTATGCAGACGAGGGTCTTTCACTTCACAGCATGTCAGATTGACAGGGTCAGAATTTGTCATAAACACCATGAAAGCATGGTGTCATCTTGCCTTATGTCAGTACAGCTTGCTGCAGGTGGCGTTAATAAAAACTGAGCATTGTTTATACTCAGGAAAGCCTTCCTGAGCATTGTTCCTGAGCATTTCCATCCCTTTATTACCGCAGCAGCCATCAGAACACAGTCACCGATGCTGGCTTCCAGTTTGATTGTGTGACATGTCTCAAAGCTCGCATCATGCAAAGCTGATGATTTAAGCGTTTGAATGGTCTTGAAGATCTCAGTGAGTGCTCAAACGGCCACAGTCACCAGATCTCAATCCAACAGAGCACCTTTAGGATGCGCTGTAACGGGAGATTTGCATCATGTGTGCGCAGTAATTGTGTGATGCTATCATGTCAGCATGGACCAGAATCTCTGAGGAATGTTTCTTGTTGTTATGTAGCTCCAGAAGCAACATGGTGGCCAGCGTGGTCCTAGCAAGGTGTACCTAATTAAGTAG